TTCCCTGTAACATCCCAAGCCTAACTAAAGGCAATGTCATATACTCAATTTCTTTGTTGTTGTTGTTGTTGTTGTTGTTGTTGTTTTTAATGACTGGCACAATACAGCTTTTAACCAACTACCACTATTCTGCTCTATATTCATTAATTGCTAATTAATACTTCTGGTGTACTCATTCACAAGGATTTAGTTACCAAAGGTAATTGGTTAAGATTGGTTCAGTGGTTAAGAGCATTGAGTGTTCTTCCAAAGGACCAGGGTTCAATTCCCAGCTCCCACATAGCAGCTCACAACTGTCTGGAACTTGTGTTCTAGGGGATCCTATGCCATATAACAGACATGCATGCAGGAAAAAAACCATTGTACATAAAATATAAATAAATAAATCAGTTTTAAAAAAGAATATATTTTAAAAAATAAAAAGATGAATTATTTAGTAAAATGTACCTTGAAGCCACAAACAGTGTCACACCAGCTTCAAGGACACCTTGGCTTGCTTTGGATGCCTAAGTATACAGTTGTTAAGTATCTGCAGAAACCTTCTGTCCCTACCCACAGCTGCTAATGGAGACTTACTAAGCACCTCTGCATTGTCCACAATTTCCATAACTGAGTAAAGAAATGAACTCTGATGATGGAAGTCAATTATCCCTTGATTTTTTTTCTCCCAAACCAGCAAGAAACCAAGTAGGTCTGCAAATCTAATCCTTCCAACCCAATGTATATGGTCTCCAGTTTTATTCTTCTGAGTCTTCAGATTCACCTTGTTTATTTATTTGTTTCTTGGTTTACTTTATGCATATGTGTACTTGAATACTTGCAGACATGTGTGTGTGTGTGTGTGTGTGTGTCTGTATGTGTGTGTCTGCATGTGCATGTCTGTGTTCAGGGGATTGGTGAGTGTACATGTCAATGTGGTTCGTGAGCATGCGCATATAGGTATGTGTGCTTATGTGTATGAACACCACAGGCTGACAAGAGATGTCTTCCTCCACTGCCTTCTGACTTATTTTTTTATATAAGGTCCCTCAGTGAACCTGAAGCTCACCAGTTAGTCTAACTGTCCAGGGAGCTCCAGGGGTCCTCCTGTCTCCACCATCCCAGCTCTGTGCCTCCACACCCAGAGTTTTACCAAATTCAGATCTCTGTACTTACCTGGCAGACATTCCTAAATGCGGTGTCTCCCTGCACATAAATGGAGAGTTTGTATCTAATACATGAACTTAATAGCTTAAAAAGCTCCATAGGAGACAGTTCTCAAAACCTTTCCTTCCTGCCACCGTCCTACACAGGACCTCCATTTCCTGTTTGTCCCTGAGCTACTCTTGACCTATCCAATAAGGTCACTTCCTTCACTCCTGAAGTCTGTGCCAGACGAGACACTTAAGCTGAATCATTTTAGAGAGGTCATTTCAGAAATGTCTGTATCCTGTTCTGAGAAAAGAAAGCATATCCATCCCTTTGCAAACCAACCACCCCCAGTGTGGTCTCTGTGTCAGGAAAGGAAGACTCTGAATCCATTACTTTGCAGGATCCCTCCAGTCCTGCCCCTGGCCAGCCGCAGTGCACCCCTGATGTTCTGGGATAAGGAGTGAACAAGTGGCCTGTGTCCTGAGACCTGGATTTTTTTTCAAAGAGTCATCTGGCTTTTGTTTTAATTTCAGCCTTGAAATGACTAGTCTTCTGTGCCCCACATCATTCTGTGAAATTCCTGGAGGTTGTCAGTAGTGACAGGTATAAGAGTTTGCATTTAGAGACCAATAGGAGACAAATGGGGTGATGGGAATAGATGAGAGAGTAAGCCAAGGCCAGAGATGTAATTGGTGACCTGGGAAGACCGAAGCCTGCTGGAACACTGAATGACCCAACCCTTGAACTCATTAGCAAGGCACCTCTGGCAGCCACGTTCACAAATACAGATATGAACTTGACATCTGTCTAGGGCAAGACCAAGTCAACTCATTGAAAATTCCAAGCAGGCTTGGTCCTGTGAACTTTGTTCTTCCTACAGCCGTTTAATTATTTTATGAGTTCTTACAATTCTCTGAGAGGGGGAGAAAATAACTTCCCTCAGAAGTACAGTATCCAACACTTTTTTAAGTTACAATCTTTTTGTGAGCTACAGGAAACTAATAGCACTTTAAAGAAACTACAGAAAGACGCATCAGCACTTTCAATACAATCCTGGCTTCCCAAGGTAGACAGATTCTGAAGGAATTTGCTTGAGGGTGAAACTCTGGCATCTGCCCGAGCCCCTGCCTGTCCACAGCTCATTTCATCTGATCTTACACAGGACACCTTCACGTCCTCCACATTGGCCATCTGGGATCTTTAGAAATTAAAAAGAAAATGTTGTTATTAACAAGTACGTTCTGAGTTTGTCTATGCATATAGAGCCCTCTGAGAACTTAGAAACTCAAAGAGCCCTGTTTACAGCTTGTGGTCTGACAATACTGTGTGCTAATGGGGAAGGAAAGGAAGGGACAGATGCCAGAAAATTCCAGTCCAATGGCACCAGACATAGAGTTCCTTCACTCGTTTTGTAACTCAAATTTGTCCTCAGTCCTATCTGCAACTGCCACTAAGCCTTTTTGGAGACCTAACAGAAACATCCAGACTTAGGGGTTGGAGATCTCTGAAGGTAAAGCTGATAGTCTGTCTTCCTTTGCTGTGTCTGTATATGCTCATATATGTGTAAGTGTACCACATAAACAGGTGGAGGCCCTAAGTTTGATCTATTCCTCAGTGGCTCTCCACTTCATCATCCATATGAAGATGGGAACTGAGCTTCGCTCCACTCAGTATATCCTGTGAAACCTGAGCCCATTTTTATACAAGGACACAGTTTCTATATTAGATACTTCTCTGTTGCTTTGATAAAGTATTATGACCAAGGCAACTTACAGAAGGAAGAGTTTATTTGGGCTTACAGTTACAGGGAGGTGAAAGTCTATCCTGGCAAGCAGGCATATAGCAGCAAGTGACAGGCACAGCAGCAGGGGCTGAAAGATAAGAGCTCACTTCTCAACCATAAGAGTATGAAGCAGAGAGCGTGACCTGGAAGGATGGCAAGACTACTTATGCACAAAGCCCAGCCCCGGTGTTGTACTTTTTCTAACAAGGCTCCACCTCCCAAAGGTTCTATGACCTCCCCAAAATGGCACCACCAACTGAGACCAAGTGTTGGAATGCTTGAGCCAATGGAGGGTGTGTCTCATTTCAACAACCACCGATTCCTAACTTCCAAAATCATCTTCCTTTTGTTTTACTTCTGTATTGAAAAGTCCTCAGTATGTTACTGCTTACAATGAAGTTTAAGGAGGAGAGGGGAGTGATGGGCATGTTGGAGTTGACAGCTAAATGAGATTGTGTGCAACATTTATAGATGCCTCTCTGGTCTGTCCTAACATGTAATCAGCACACTGACCCATGGTACCATTTATTATCCCATTCTTTTCTATCCTGTAGTATGACGGTGCCGATCTAAATTCCAGAGCTTGGTTAAAGATCAAATTTTAATATGTGTGGTAGCCTACAGCTTGAGCCCCATCTTGTGCGGAAACCCTACTCAGTTGGCTGCCATACTAAAAGGCACTGTTCCATAAAGCACTGGAGACATGGCAGCTGGTAAACACAAAGATCATGTCATAGATATTCCATCCCACACTGTGTTCAAAACAGTGCTAAGTTGCTCCTCCTACCCACTCCTAGGCTTACAAGAGGCTCATAAGATGACAACAAGGATATTTCATGCTATCATAGTGTTCATTATGATTTTATCATGTGATCAGAAACTCTATGTGACAATCATATTTTGAAGACTATCTCATTAGATTTCGTAAACCACATTTCCACCTTAGAAATTAAATAAAAAATAAATTTTGTCAGAAATGTCCTACATAAACTTCTTCTGAAGATAAGATATAATTTAATGAATGTGTCATATACATGGTAAGTATGAATATATATGATATGTATGTATATGGTAAACATATATACCATAAATATACATGCATAATTGAGGACGACACCAGACACTGACTTCTAGACTTAACACACACACAAGTAGAGACACATACATATACACAAACATACATGAACACACAAACACAATAGGTTTTGATGAGTGTTTTCACTGCATAAAGTAATAAGGGCAGAGTAGCCCTACCCCTTCTCAATGAGTGTCTAGGAAACACAAATTGCGTAGCTATTCCTGCTCTGACCCCTAAGTACGTTTGGAATAACCTGTCTTCATTGTCCAGTCTAGAGGCCGAGGACTGTCAGCTGCCGAGTGGTAATACTTCATGCAGGAGACACGCTGTCCCCTCTGTCAGAACAGCACTCCAGTCTGTTACATGTGCTCATTACTCACTTTATTTCAGTTAATAAACTTCACCTAATTGAAGCTGTATGAGTCCCTGACTGAAATAAAGATAATCAAAAATAATCGTCAGTCTCTAACGGTGCCTTTTTTGGCTCTTGTCACTCTGGAGACCCATCTAGTGTGTATGGGCATGCAACTGTGGCCACTCACCATGGACCATTATGTGGAGAAGACAGCTTCATATTCAATTAAAGCTCATCTTCATGCAATTCGCTGGCTATTTAACACTGCTTTCAAGTGTATTGTTTTTCTTTTATATTATTATAATTATTATCCTCATCATTATTATCACTATTATTATTGTGTGTGCATATCCACACAGTGCTGGGGGTGGGAGCATGTAGGGCTTACTAGGCATGTGGAGGACAGAAGAAAACTCTGTGGAGTTGTGGGCACATGCAGGTCACCAAGCTTCCAAAATGAGTAAAGGCCTTTTCCCACTGAGCCATCTCAGCTGCCCTGGCCTTTATCTAAATTCTAAAGAGTTCCTTCAGGGTGCCTCCTTTCCTCCAGATCACATCCAAATAACAACCGTCTTCTTATCTTCTTCTGTCAGCAAGCCTCAGGGATTGGCCTTTCTCTAAGTCTCTAATTTTCCTCTGTGTTTCTCTGTCAGAATCGAACTGCCAGATGAGAACATTGGACAGTGGGATTGGAACCTTCCCCCTCCCAGACTCAGGAAACCGCTCAATGGGACGATACATGTGCCAGCAGGACTCCCCAGAGGCCACTGATCCCCTCCTGCCTCTCCAGCCAGCCCCTTCCATGGCATCCCCTGCCAGAGCCCAAACCCTTGACCGTGAAGTGCCTTCCTCCACAGACAGCCAGAGCTCCTCGGAGACCACCATCATCCATTCCATATCTGACCCCAGCACGATGGCCAGAGGGATGAGAGCCTCACAGAGTCACCTTCCCAAGACCACCTCCTCAGGTAAAGTGTCATTTACTTTTCTATGAGATTGTGTGCCCCCCCCCAATTCATAAGAACATGTTTGCAGATGTACCCATGAAACTACCCAGCAGAAGACAAGCCACTCAGTGATCTCTGCCCCTACTGAAACACAGACTCATGTAAATCTCGGAACACCCTCAACCAACTCCTGTGAGACTTTATTGGAGGCTGGGGAGATGGCTCAGTGCATGTAAGTGCTTGAGTTCGCAAACGCTAGAACTCTAGTTAGTTCCTAGAACCCATGTTAAAAATATCATGTCTGGAATCTCCGTGCAGAATTATAAAAAGGCCAATCCCTAGGGCTTGCTGGCCAGCCAGTCTGGACAAATCAGCTAAGTCCAAGATAGAGAGAGAGCATCTGCAAAGTGCCTGAAGAGTAATAGCCAGAGTTTCTGTCTCTTCTCTGTATACACGTGTGTGTGCATACATACACACATGCGTGCATGTATAACCGCCCCGATGTGAACATGTAATACTCAAAAATATACACACGTACACTAACTGACAAAATGACATTATCAACTTTTAATGTTAAAGAGTAGACATTAATTAATAGAAGGAAACATCATACGATAGATGGCTAGCTACATAAATGGATGAAGAAGTAAAGCATGCCGTATATGTTCATGGGATTTTATCCTAAAAAATAACTTCACATGGAATATATTATAGTATATGTTATACATATACATATACATATACATATACATATACATATACATATACATGGATGGTATGGATGGAGAGGTGACTCAGCAGTTAAGAGTGTATAGTGGTCTTGAAGAGGACCTGAGTTCAGTTCCCAGAACCTTGACTGGGCAGCTTACAACTGTCCATAGCTACAACTCCATGGGATGCAGTGCCCTCTTTTGGCTCCTACAGGTACCGTACTCATGTGTGCATACATGCACAGAGACACATCTATATGGATAATTAAAATTAAAAGAAATCTTTTTAAAAAGGATAAATTGAATATAGAACCACAATTTAGCCCCCGTCCAATGATGTTCCTGAACTGTGTGCCCTCTAACCCAGAAACTGTAAGTCTCCTGACATATTTCTACCTCATTCCTGTACATTTACATGCTGCTGAGCTATAAAGATTCAGCTTGATTCATCAGCAGCAGATTGTGTGTTGACTGCAGAGGAAAGTAGCTCGCCTTCCCATGGAGACCTGCCTGCAGTCCGTGGAAAGAAGCTTTTATGATTAAAGACAAGGCCAAGCTGAGGGGCAAAGTATTTTTTTTCATTGTTCCCTCGATTAAAAATATTTATTGCACACCAGGGTGATGCTCAATACTTCCTAACATGTGTGGCTTCTGTGGCTTTGACAGTATGTGTATAAGCACAACACTTCGGCCTGGGAACCTAAATGCTTGTGTTTATGGCTAGAAGATCAGAAAGGAGCTGTGTATGGAGTATGGAGGTTATCCTATGGGTTTCTGAGAAACTAGAAGAGAAGGCTGTTAATTAAACAGGTTTGAATGGACGTATCAGACTGTTCCTGTGACTAAACTCTTCACACATTAATAGCAATGGCCAAGGGGCCTCATCGGGACTCACGCTCCTTCCAAGCCAAGGTTACATTTTTAAAGGCCATAATGCATATTATTTTTGAAATAAGTGCAGTGTTAATTAATGGCACAGCCTCCAGAGCTTCAGGGGCGAAATCTTAGTTATAGATTATGTGCTCTATGCCTGAATAGTCGCATGTGTGACCTCAATTCGGCAGCGGGCTGCCGAGTAGACTCCATGATTAAACACTGTCATTATAACAAATTGAATAGAAACCACAAGCTTTGAATTGCTTCATAAGAAGGGGACAGGAAGGAGATTGTTCTGATCTTGCCACTTACATTTGCTGCATCCAAATCCCAAGGGTTGTGTCTTAATTAAATTGTCACAAAGAGTTGTAAAAGGCGGTATATGGGAGAGAGTGAGGTGAGCAGACAGGAGGCCATCTTGGGGTTACCCATCCTGAGGTTTCCTGTCTGTGACATCCACAGAAGCAAGGCTGCTCTCTGGTGCTTTTCTTAGTGACCATTTGTTAGGTGAAAAATTGTGCAGTGCAGAAGTTTGGGGAGCAAAAGGAAAATGGGATTCCATTTCCTTCCTTCCCAGCAGGCACTTCCTGTGTGATTTACACGGTTGAACATAGCCTTTTCTTATCCCCATTTGAAACCTGGAGGTATCTGAACACATCTCACAGTGTCAATGGAAGCCTCACTAACTACCTTTTTCCTTACCTGAAGAAATTGCTACGGAGGGCTGTGTGGCATATTCTCTTGATAATTAGGGTTTATTTTTAAAACTTATTTTTTTAAAGTTTTCATACAAGTATATATTGTGTGTTGTGCCTACTCTTCCTCAGAATCCCTTCCTTCCCTTTCCCTTCTCTCTCCTATGACTCCCTGTGGCCATCTACATACTTCCCTGTCTATACTTATGCCATCTGTGAATATATGACTTTGTGTAGCTATAGAAAAATCTAAGAATCTTTCTAAGATTGGCACAATTGGCTTAATATTGATTTCTGTTCGCATTATTTTCCAGAAAATTACTTGGTTTCATTCTTCTTGTGTATGTTTTGTTGGATGTACTATATCTAGCCATATGTATTTATGTGTGTATGTTTATTTATCTATATCTATAAAAATATATGCTATAATAGGGCATTCGCGTATAGAACACCTTCCTTCCTCATCCTGAAAGGGGAGTTACCATTAGGATCCTTCAGCTTCACCTACAAACACATGGAAAAATATGCTCAATTTCAGTAGCCGTCAGAGAATTGCAAGTCAAAAACACAGTTAGAATAACAGTCATTAGAAAAACAAGTAACAGCAAATGATGATGAGCATGAAGGCCAAAGAGAACTTCTGTCCACTGCTAGTGGGATGGAAAGAGTTCAGCTGCTGAGCGAGTCAGTATGGGGATTCCTCAAAAGAACTAATAACTCTTTCCCATGATCCAGTTATCCCACTCCTGGGTATATCTCCAAAGGACTCCAAGACAGCACATCACAGAGACCCTTGCAAATCCATTCTCACTGCAGCTCTAGGTCCAAGGGCTAAGTTATGGAACCAGCATAGATGTCCATCAACATAAGAATCAGTAAACAAAATGGTATTGTTTTCATGTACAATGAATAACAGAGTCCTCTCATTTCCAGGAAAATGCATGCAATTGTAGGTATGCATACTAAGGGAATGCAACCTTTCTCAGAAAGGAAAATATCGTAAGTTCCTTGTGGTTTGTGGTTCACAGGTTTTATGTAGCTACATACAGGT